TATATATATAATTTTTATATATTTGTAACTATACTGCAGTCAATTCAACTATATATACTTTAGTTTACTCAACTACGTACATTAATTCTATAAATTAATTCTTAGAATGTAGTTGACACCTTTGTAGTTTATTCAGTCATTATCAATGTACAATGGCTGAATAAACTATTTTATAACTAAGTATTACTATATAAAATAGTTTATTTAACATATATATATATATATATATATATATATATATTAAATTAGAGCAATATAAATTAAAGAAGTGTTTTTAAAGTTTTTATTATTAATCAAATAAGAATAAAATAAAACTTACTTCAATATTCATTATTTCATTAGTACATTAAATTTATTCATTTGCAGTAAAAACTGTTGTATTTGTAAGCATTTTTTAAGAAAAAGAAAAATATAGAAGATAATGCAAATATAAAAGAGAGATCAATTTTCTAAAATTAGAGTAAAAGTTCAAAAGATAAACGTTATTTTATTAACAATAACAAATTAAGACTTACGTACATTGCATTATTACGTAGTATATTTCTTATACAATTTGACCAGTGGATGATCGTGTCTTTCGGATACTGGAACATAACGCTGTTGCAAGGCGAACCAACCTATATGAAATCCTATAATTAATGGTATTATGGCGTAGTAGGTACTGCTTGGTCGCATAAATGATTTTCTCATATTAGGAGATTGTATTTTTTATTCCCTTTTTAAAACAGATTTATCCTAATTTAAGTACTCGTTAATACTTGCACGTTTCTCCTCTGCTCTACAGCATATCATACATCTGAAAAACAAAAATCTCTTAATATATATATATATATATATATATATATATATACGTGTATGTGTGTGTGTGTTAAATATCAAGATGTTTTTAATAAAACTATTATGTACATCATTTGCCAGAAAAAACAAATTTTTTTGTTCATTAATCACAAAATATATTCATGATAAAGCATCTACTATTTGTAATAACAGATATTCAGAAAGTTATAAAAAAAGTAGTAACAAATTACAAAAAAAATATAATGTAATGAAATATAATTAATATATTTGTAACGAAATGTAAGGATATCGATAAATTCATTAATTGACTAACCTATTACAATATATGACGAAAGTATTCAAATAGTAGAGCCACAAATTAAATGAGGTACGATCCGATTACTTTCAAACAAATCTCAGAATTTTCTAATCAAATCCTTTGAACAATTTAACAATTATTCGTTTATAGATCTTGTTTAGTTATAACTATTTAACTAATAAACACAATTCCTCGATATTTCCAACAGAGAGAAACCTGACAAAAGTGACAGAGGACATGACGGCCATGACGGGTCATGCCGGTCATGCACTAACGCCCCCTGAAAAAATGGATGTAAACTACATAGCAACATAAACTTTCTGCACCGCGGGTATACAATTTGTGGTGCGTGGCCGTCGCTACATCCGTCTTTTAAACTCGACTGCTGGGGCTTAATAATTATTCTCGAAAAAATTGCGCATTCGAAAATCATGTTCTCTCTCAGATTACGGATATTTCTGGCGAGTAACACAGTCTTTAACTTTTTTCCGTGCATGTAAAATATATACATATATCATCATTGCGAGTTGCGACTGTCGCATCTACAGAGATCTTCCGATCTTCTTCGATTATCGACGCAAGACAATCGCTCGTGCGCATCCTGCCGTGTTAGTCCACATGTGTGCTTTAGCTTCGAAGGCGGGAATGGGAAAATAACGAGAAAAGAAAAAGTGCCTAACCTCTTTGCGCGCCGTTCTCTTTCAACGATTTATAAAATATTTATAAATTTTTGTGCTTAATGTAACCGTTTAATTTCTTAGCGCTGTGCATGTTTTATCTTATTCGCAATTGTGTTTAGCGTATGTTGTATATAACGATGGCTGATAATAATTGCGTGCAAATGATTCAAACAAATTTTTCATTATACGGCTTAGTATTGTCAAGGCAAGTATTTTATTTTTTAAATAAACTTTCTATAACATTATTTTTATATGTAACTACATGCTATTTGTTTATATATTTTTTAGAGAGCTTAGAGTATCTCTCGCAAAGCAACTATTAAGAATACCACAAAATGAACGTGAATCTTGGCTCAGTCGTATTATAGAACTGATTCTGGCTCAAAACTTGGATGATCCGCATGTTGGAGCCGAACATATAAAAATTGCTATAGAAGAATGCCTAGAACCAAACAAATTGAAAGATACGGAGACAGTGTTCAGTGTTATAAATGGATATGATATACCAAAGATAAGATATGACATTTCTAAAAAGAAATTTATCATTGACAGTGAAAACTCACATCTTGAAACACAATATAAATCATTGGTTTTTAAGCATCGTTTCGAAATGGCATGGTATAAAACTCTAAGGCATAAGCAATTTCTGTCTTCTAAATTTGAGAAACAGCAAACAGATAAGACAAATTTAATACCTATCGAGTATCTATTAAGCGAGCTGAGAACAGGGAATGTATGCGTAATGGGGCTGATAACACAATTAATGGAAGACCAATATTATTTGGAAGATACAAGTGGAACTGTCAAAATTGATCTCAGCAATACAATATCCTTTATATACTTGATGAATTATTGGATTAAGATATTCGTGTGTATAGGGTTTTACTTTAAAAATATATATTGAAGTATACCCAAAATGTATAAAAATATTTTATATGAACAATAGAAGCATTTTTCAATTTATTTCAAACTATATAATTATAGTATATTTGTGGATATTACTTTTGGAAATACATTTTCAATAGGTATCTTGAGTGTGATAAAAATAAATTGATAAGTAATATGATTTGAAATAATCTATAATATGAAATTATAAAGTTAAAATTATATGTATATAATCGTAATTAATCATATTTTGATATTTTGAAAAGAACAGATTTCCTGATTCATGTATTCATATAAAATGTTTTCATTCATTGAGGCTAGTCTTTAAAGTGTAGCAGTAACAGCAATGACTAATAATTCAAAACGTTAGTTATTTTCCTTATTTTATTTATAAGATTTTCAGGATACTTTTATCATGGAAGGCTGTATAGTATTAGCTAATGGCGTTTATAAGGATGACGTGTTACATGTGAAAAATATCAACCTTCCGCCAATAGAATCATCGGAGAGCTTGCGATCGGATTTTGGCGATGCAAATACATTTGGTGGCCCACACAATATATCTTTAAAAATGTCAGAAAAGTTACAAGTCCATGAAGAGTATAACCAGGATGGAATGATAGTATTCATAGCAGAGTTATGGTTGGATGTTCCACATGTCTTACAAAAATTTAAGACGATACTGGATGGTTACATGGATTATCCCCCCATAGCTTTTGTATTGTGTGGCCATTTCTTAAGTTTCCCTACAAATATAACTAGTGCTCAAGCTCTGATAACGGGTTTCAAAAATTTAGTTGATATTATAACCCAATATACAAATATAAAGGAATCTTCCAAATTTGTTTTTGTACCTGGCCCACACGATTTAGGCTCTCCTAAAATTTTACCAAAACCTCCTTTGCCCAAATGCATTATCGAAGAAGTCACAAAAACAATACCAAATGCTATTTTCACTACTAATCCATGTAGAATACAGTACTGTACAAAGGAAATTGTAATATTAAGAGAAGACATGTTGACGAAGATGTGTAGGAACGCGCTTCGTTTTCCGAAAGAGGAAAACTTTTTTAAACATGTAAGTAGTTATTATATTCAATGTTATCAAAGATACAATATGTAATAATACCAATTAATCAAAAATTTCAGTTTGCTAAAGCCATCATTGGTCAATCACACTTGACCCCTGTGCCTCTTCAAGTTGTTCCAATATATTGGAAATATGACCATGCTCTGCAGATATTTCCAACGCCAGATCTCATTGTGATTGCTGACAATTTTGAAACATACACGACCAATTATGCTGACTGTTATGTGATAAATCCTGGAATGTTTTCAAAAAACAATTTTTCGTTTCAAGCTTATGTGCCTGCCATTAATCAGGTCCAAGATTGTCAGCTTCCAAATGACACCAATATTGGTTGAGAAAATAATTATATCAAAATATCATGATAATTTTCTTGTACATAGACAATGTATAAACTGTTACGCTGGGTATTAATACATAAGTAACTCTCTTATAATTTTGTATATTTATTTCGCTTTGATAACAAAATCTTGTTTATTTTTACAATATTTCGAAAACGCACCGATAATAGGTCCTTAAATTGTAATTTTTTACACTATGTAAACGCTGAAACAAATTAAGCCCAAAGGACAAAAATAATTTAATCATGAGAAGGGCTTCTGCGGATAATTTCTTACAATTAATTTTCTGTGTCCAATGATACAATAGGAAATATTGAGAAGGAACTTACGACAATTTCAATTTTTAGGATGGAATATTTATAATATCACGAACGTAATACCTTTCTCTAATTGTTTGCTTGCTTTTGTATTTCCTATAGTGGGATAACTAATAGGATTGTGTCAGACCTAAATAGGACATAGATGGTACGCGTATGCTTATTCTTTTCTATCAATTCATATAAATAGGTACATAGAATATTAAACACAGTGTTTCTACCATTTTGAAATATACATAACATTATACAGGTACAGACTGGGCCCCAATTTATTTCAATTTTGTTGCACTGGAAGCATAAGTCAATCAATTACTGGCCGTAATAAACCAAACATGATCTTTATGTAAGCGTAAAAAGTTGTTAATGTCCAATCGTAACATTACAACATGATAATACTAACATTACACTTTGTGTGAGCAATATAATTTTATCCTTTAGCAACTAGTTGCTTTGATATTGCTAAAAAAAATGGCGCATTACAGAAACAAATTTAGTTGAAGTTAAGATAGATTAATGGTAATAATTTTTGGAAGAAATTCTTGTATATTCTATAGTTTTGCTTAAAATATTTCAAATGCAACATGCTCTAAATATCGTTAATACTTTACATAACGGAAGAGAGTTAATGATCGACACAAATATAAGTTTTCTTTAAAATAGGAAGCAAATTTTAAATATTAGGTTACAAAGTGCAAACACGTAGAATCTCAGAAAATGAAATAAAGGATTTTATATATACATACATACATATATATGTATATATAAGCGTAAATTGCAACAACTACACACATTAACTCATCACATATATTACAGTGCCATCTGTAAAAAAAAGTACGCTCTTACATCTATTGCACTTCTTCGCAAACACGCATTGTCTTCGATAATTTTCTTCGTACGTTATTCAATTCCTCCTGCAAAAATTATCATAATACATAATATTTTATGTACAAGTGTAACTTCAGTCCAATCGGACGGCGTAATAATCCTTCACGTTCTATATCTCACGAACTATTATTCTTCGTATGTAGTTCTCCTAAAAGAAATTGTAGCTTAAATTTTATATCATTTACAAATAATATTCATATAATTCATAAAATATAAAATGCAAAAGAATCACTACGTTAACGATTAAAATTATAATTCTAATTTTTTATTACGGTTAAATAATAAAAGTAAAGAAAAAATATTTATATTTATTAACTTATTTTTAATTTTTATTAACGTTATATAAAGTATATCTCGATCGCGAATTAGTTTTAATTGTAATCATTGTTTCATGTAAAATGTTGTTAGCTGTATCAGGAAAAATATAAGTAGAAAAAAACAATACAGTCGTTTACATACTTTCTCTTTGATATCTTCGGCAAGCCTGATTCCTTTCTTCGGCGTCAAAGTACCAAAGCGTAATGGCATATCTCGTTTTAAATGCTGGCTGCACTTCATGTGGATTTCGCCTGTCCGACCAGAAAAATAATATTCTGTCGAATAAAGGTTCTATGTTTGCTACTTGATCACGCCAACCTTCGGGAAATATCCTCAAAAGTCCGCCATTTTCCTGCGTACATAAAAAATATATAATTATTTACAAATTTTGATATACAATTATTTCATTGGGCTTTATATTATGTCTTTGTTTAAAAATGACACTATATCTGCAACAACTTATTAATATTCCTAATTCGTCACTGTAAGCATGATGGACTATGATATCAAAACAAAAATCCTATTTTCGTAGACTGAACTATTATATATTTCAAATTCCTATTGTTAGTACAATCAGTTGCTTAAAATGTTATGGTATTTATATGAAATCAAAAGTTCGTAATGTGATAAAAATAATTAAAAATATATAAATACGTATAAAATTTCACCTTGACGTCCCAATCCCGATTAAGATAATAAATGGCTGTGATGCAACGTCCGTCTCGGTTAGGATTATCCACATGTTTCACGTAATGTGAGCCGTGACCGGGATAACAAGCTACCATCGCCTAGAACAAAAAAAAATAATTTTTATTAAAAGAGAGATATATAATTGGCAAATTACTATAAATTATGACTGGTTTTGTAAATTTCAAAAATATTCGATTATTTGAATATCTCAATGCAATCGATTTTACGTAGCATAAAAGAAGAAACGTACATGTATTAATTTATATTCTCAAGCATGAATGAAGCATGAAAAGATATTAATTTATTCTGATGCGCAAAAAATATATATATTCAATTTTTCGTTTCTGATGTCATAATTCGATACAGCTGCAGTGAAAGATCTGTAAAGATATCTGCATTATCTTTCGCTTTATCGAGATATAAATATCACTTATCACATTTACATCCCACTATGATAAATATTTACGTCTAAAAAAAAAATAACAAATATTATATTAGAAATATGCACAGAAATATGCCAGAAATATGCATATTCAAAATACTAAATTATTTAAACTACAATCTGACAATGAGTCACATATAATATAAAAAGAGTAAAAAATGTTTATTTTAAAAAAGAACATGTAGATAACGCGATAATTGACGCGTTGTCGTATTTAAATATAAGATTGAAAGATAAGTAACAGTTATTTCATAATAGATAAAAAAATTCACAAAAAGTTATTAGATTTTAATTACAAACTAAACTAAAACTGCTTTGTCGCATAATTTATAAGTTAAAAATATAAATAAAAACAATTATTACTAGATAATGTTATTTAACAAAGCGCCAATTTAATGGAATAAAGGGAAGAAACTATACACTATTAACTATATGAATGCACTTGTAACACGTTTAATATATCACGGTTATCATTTGTCCTATTGCGTGAATGTAGTAGAAATGTAATGCAATAATCATTAACGGACAAAATATTTCATACTTTTTTTTATCTTGCCAGATTATCAAATAATATACCATTGTACTATATTTACGACACAATTAATCAGTAAGACAAAATAATTGATTCACTCAATCCACATCGAAAGTGTATTGCCTTACGTGCGTATTCTCACATTTTCTGATAACGGTCTGCTTATTGTTAAAAAGCCAATGATAATGTCGCAAAAATTCTTACGTTAACTCTTAGTATTTTGGAGAAAAAAAATGCAAGAATCTACTTCTTTGAACGCACGTGTTTTATAATGCCAATTATATACGGTTTTCAATCAATTTCGAATTAAAAGTAGAAAATATACTTAATACAACCCTAAATTGAACACTCTAAACGTATTACAATACGCAACATATGTTTTACATAATAATTTTTAAGTTAAGAGAATGTAAAATATATTATATTTGTGTTAGATTAAACAGATGTTTAAACGTCTTGATTTTTTGAAAATATGATCATTGATCGAAATGTCCTTGAGATTTTTCGTCATACTATCACAATGAATAATGCATAACTAAAAACATAGACATATTTCTTCGACTCTCCATTCGCTATGTCAATAATTAATTATCATCGTAATTTATGTAGCAAAAAGAATGAACGAATCAAATATTAGTTTCACTTTTACTATTCGTTTATTATTCGGATAAAGTCATTTCTGACTCAAAAATACGCACACGCATCCACAGATGAATTAACATATCTCAGATATGTGTATTAATGTAAATATTAGTGCATGCACGTAAGTTATAACAGTTGCAAAAATGACAGCGTATAAAATAAGATATTTAGCAAATTAAATGAGTTAACACACGCAATACAAATGATATATATGTCCTTGTTTCATTATGAGTAATCGAATATCTAACTAAAAATAGATACTGTGATAAATCAACGAAAGGATAATGATAGCGACCACAAATCAAATAATTACTAAACTGGTACCAGTTTAATAAACTACAATACAATCGCGAACAATACGAGAAATATCCTGAATCTGTTGATAAAATAAGAAATGATATTTATAGGATTCAATAGCAATTGTATTCAACTGTTACAGAAAGGATATAGCGCTATCGTAGAAACATGAAAATTTCATGAGAACAGAATATTATGTAGTAATTTCATATTACATAATTGTACCAAATGTTTCTTTTAGTGAAAGTTTTGATTTTTCTTTTGCTATGTATCGTATCTCAATTTTCGTTACTCAAAACTTTCATACCTTTTATAAAGATATATGTGCCAAAAATGTACAATTATATAATTATGTAATAAGAAATTTTTCTCTGTATTTTATCTTTGTATCTTCAAATATATACATTTTTTCTTTCGTTATTTATTTTACTATGCATATTAAAAATCTTTTTTATTATATTTAAATGTTAATATACGAATAAATGAAAAAATTCGTTACGATCCTTAATGTTAATAATATCACGTATCTTTTGCTAAATAGTTCCGTCTCCTCATCGAAAGAAATCGCTAGACGCCATTGAGCAGCTGGGAGTTTAGGTAGTGTAAAGCGAATTTGCTATATCGCGTCACATCGGTATGAGAGAAGAGAAAGAGGGTGGGAGTCGCGCGGCGTACGTGACTGACTGCACTTGGCGCGATCCCACTCTCCTCCTCCTTTCAGCGTATAATACTCCCTCGCAGATCTTAACATTTTTGGAGTCCTGACCTTGTCTATATCGCGTTCACCTCGGCGTGTCATTCCCGCCGCCGCGATCGAAAATCCTGTGCTTGATGCATCTCGCATTAACATTTGCCTCCATGTGTAAACATATATGTATATACATACGTATATATATATAATCGAGCACACAAATGCAAAACAAATAAAAAGTAAGATACATCTTGTAAATGTTTCGCCATGTGGATATCAAATGCACAATTGCCTTATGCTGCTGTTTACTTTTATTTAATGCAAATAAGAGTACAACGCACAATCGTTTTATCAATTATAACGATAAAGGACTAAAATTCATTTAAATTGCGTCCTAATAGCATAAACTATCTTAGAATATTTTGAGCTTTTATTATAATTATATTACTTAAAGTAAAATAAACCATTTGCTATTTTTTTTTAATTACATACAAAAGAGCCAATGAATACTCACTTTCGTTCTTCCAGTGATGGTATAGTTTCCTATTTTTCCGTTATTGTGCATTTTATTGGCTCTCATGATGATCGCATCAACCTGTGATATCAGCGTGCCAATATTTTCACACTGTTCTTCTTTTCCATCCAGCCATATTATTTCGTCGCCACGTATCGTCTTTAAGTCATTAGCGCTACCTTTATTAGAAACCAATTGTCCGTCTTGAAATAATCCGGCACTATACATATTCAACACTTCACCTAACACCTTGAGACCTCTTTCCTTGCCTAAAAACTTGTCTACCACACATACACCGTACTTGTCCATATCCCTTATCACATATTGACAAATTTTGTCTAGAAGTTCTTCGAGATTACTTCTGTTCCTATGTAGAAAAGGAGGCAAAAGTTCTTCTTCTTGATCCTGTATCTCCGACAGGTTCTTCATGCCGTTACGATGTTGAGTGGACGAGCCAAGGTCTGCGTTGCTTAAGCTATCGAAAATCCTTGAACTCTCTAAAATGGGATTCAAGAGCTCAGCCCGTGCTCCCAGTATAGTGTCCTCTGAACTTCCCTCATACGTTATAGGCGACGTCCAGCCATCGACTTTGTTATTCCGCGTGTTCCTTGCCTTTCCGCTATTCGATTTCTTCTTAAGACTTTGATTCTCTTTCCGTTCCTGTTGATTCGATCCGTTCTCTTCTCGAGCATTAGAATCTGCAAACAGATCAACATTATATTATACAGAAATTCAGTCAGTTTCATCAAGTTGACGCATACAGGAGATAATTGGAAAAAAAAGCGTCTATATCGACGCCTGCAGTCCGCGCTAGAAGAGTTGAAACGCGCAATCATTACGATTTACTTAATCGTTCGCTATTTATAACGCGAGTTATCGGTAACGAGACTCCCATTGTCATTACCGCGCAAAATCCCCTTATGTATACTGCGTAAAATCCACGCTTGACGACGACGCGACGGAACGCGACGGAACGCGACGGAACGCGACGGGACGCGCGACGTTCCGCGCGAAAAAAAAAGCGAAAATAAGAAAGGACATGCGCGCATACCTGCCAAATGTTTCACGTTTCGACACGGCTCCGACGAGGTGACGTTCAAGCCCCACGATGCGTCCGAAGGTTCGTTTATATTTTTTAGGTTAGGAACCAGTGCGCTCGAGGCTGTACGATTGCCGACAGAGGAGGGATGCCGCTTGAACGGGAGACTCTCGTTCGCGGCGACAGCGGCAGCGGCAGCGGCGGAGTACGACTCCTCCGTGGACGCGGCGGTTGCCGCAGGATGGGTCGCGCAAAACTCCCGGTGGCGTTTCCAGTCGCGTCTCTGGTGCTCCTTCGTGCAGTAGAAGACGACCTTGCAGCGCGAGCACCTCGACAGCTTGTCAGTCCTGTCGCAGATCGCGCAAATCGCCTCCGCACCTGCCGTTCTTCGAACGCCGTCGCCGTCGCCGTCGCCAAGTGCAGTCTGCGCGCGACCGACTATCGGCCCGGACATGTTTCAACGTTTACTCCAACGCCGCCGCGGCGGTTGCCGACGACATTTCTCCGACGAGGAAAGTCACAACACGCTTGTGGCTCGTCCATACACCTGACCCGCCTGTCCACTGTCCGCTGCTCCGCTACGCACTCCACCCGCCGGTCCACCGCCTCCTGCACGTATATACACGCTCTGCCGTCTGCGTCAGTCTGCGACCTGCGTGCGCGGTGCGGCTCGTATTCGCACGTACGGCTACGTACGGCGTACGGCACGTATTGCTCGTAATCGTGAATCGTCACGGAATCCCGCTTCTCTCTTTGGCCCACCCGACTCGCGTCCGCGCCGCTGGGCCGCGCTGCCGCTGCTCCTCTTGCTTCCCTGGAGATAATTCAAGAGTGTCAATGTTATCGACTATTGTATATATATTATAAATTTGCGATTGTTAATATATAAATATATATGTATATTTAAAAATACATTATTAAAAATCATGATTTTTTTATACGTATTTTTTATTATATAAATGCTTTATAAATAAGTATACTTATAATATATATATCATATACAATGCCGCAAAATTATAATTTGTTTTCTACTGTTACCGCATTTTTATGGATAATCAAACACGGATGGTAACTACTATAATTAAAATGCAGTTTTCAATAAAATTAACTTTATTAGCAAGCTGTAAATATAATGTATTATATTGTTGGCTAATTGTTTAAATTTTAACAGCCATGCTACTCCAATAAAATTGTCGATTGTTATGAGTCAATCCCCATATATATATGAATGAATACTAGAGAATAGAGACGCGTTCGATAGTAAATGTCTAGTGACTTTAAATCCCAATGTAACGTAAGTTAGGTAGGGTCCGTATGGCGTTACGCTAGTGGACTGTTACTCTAATGTGTCTCCTTTAGTTGATGACGTATACAATTTTTTGATTATCCTATGAATTTGCCAATTAAATTTTGAATGCAATTATAGATTTAAAGATGAATATCTAGAAAAAAATCAACTGTATTAACGTAATACTTAACAATTGTATTATACGATTGCAACAATTGCAAGATGGTGAGTTTTAACCTGTTTAGTGTCAAAGGAAAAGTTGACATATGAAAAATAGTTTTTATTCAGGATACAAGAACACTTATTTTTTCCTAATCAAGATCTTGTGTACTGATGCAGCACCTTATCAATATTAGTGTCTATATCCAGTTGTTATTATTATATCTATGCAAAAGCAATACCAAGTATTAAAGTTGCGTGACAGGCAAAAGAAGAATGATTCATGTTTTATCATTTTCACTTTTTTTTTTTACAGACAACGTTGAGGCACGATATTGAATTACCAAATAATATTCCAAAATTATTAATGGAAAAACATGCAAACTATCTCATTTCATATGGGACCAATAAAGATGAATATGTAAGTACAATATATTTTATAATTTCTTTTGTCTCAATTTTTTGGATAGAAATTGATTATGACAAAAGTACATTTCAATATATATACCTTTAATATTCCACTTGATATTTTTCTATGATTGGCATATTCATATTTTGTAGAACTATTCTCAAACTGAACACATGAGGATGTCTGGCATGTACTGGGGCCTCACCGCTCTAGATTTAATGGGAAAGTTAGAACAAACTAATAAGGAAGAAGTGTTAGAATTTATTGGACAATGTCAATGTGACAGTGGTGGCATCAGTGCCAGTATACAACACGATCCACATTTACTTTACACTCTTAGTGCGGTTCAAATCTTGTGTATGTATGATGCACTGGATGTAATAAATGTCGATAAAGTTGTGAATTATGTCAAAGAAAGACAACAAGCAGATGGAAGTTTTGTGGGTGACCAGTGGGGTGAAGTGGATGTCAGATTTTCTTTCTGTGCCGTCGCTACTCTGTCACTCTTGGTAAATATCATTGAGAAATGATTTCTTGGTAAACATATTTGAGCATCCACAAAGTCAAAGCCATTTAAAATAGTGATGTCATTTATTTTTAAATAAAAATTATGTGATATAAAATTTATTCTTGAAATCAAATGGATATCTTAGAAACTTCACTTTCATGAAAATTCTTTAACCTTATATAGTGGATTTAAAGATAATCTTTGTCGAAACCATAAAACACTTAGTCAAAATAAATTCTTGAAAATTTTGCTTACAAATGGAAAAGGTACTTGTGAAAAAAAGTTCAAGTAATTCTCATATTATATTATAACTTGTTTCAGAATCGCTTAGATGCGATAGATGTTGAGAGAGCGGTACAATTTGTATTGAAATGTATGAATTTTGATGGAGGATTCGGTTCAAAACCAGGATCTGAGAGTCACGCAGGTTTAATTTATTGTTGCGTTGGATTGCTTTCGATCACAGGTATATACAAAGAACATACAGAACGTGCAGAATATAACATTGTACAGATTATACTATTGGATGTCACTTTTCAAGATATTTTTCAGGGCACTTGCATCTGATAGATGCTGATCGCTTAGGATGGTGGTTATGCGAGAGACAACTACCTTCCGGCGGTTTAAATGGCAGACCTGAAAAGTTACCAGATGTATGCTACTCTTGGTGGGTGCTGTCGGCGCTAACAATTTTAGGTCGTCTTCATTGGATCGATAAAAAAGGCTTGGTAATTATTGTTGTATAACACTTTATGGGATTTATTTAACCATTTTCATCTCTTAAAATTGTTTATTTATTGCTTTATTTTCTTAATCGACCAATAATTCAAATGAAATAAATGCAAATATTACCACTGTAATATAATTTCTTTTTTTCCATTTTTTATTACAGGTGGATTACATTTTAGTTTGTCAAGATGTCGAAACTGGTGGTTTCAGTGATCGGCCTGGTGATATGGTTGATCCTTTTCATACTTTGTTCGGCCTCACTGCGTTGTCGTTGTTAGACAAGAATTTTTCGTTAAAACCAATAAATCCTACTTATTGCATGCCAGAATATATAATCGATCGCTTAGGTCTTAAGCCATTGCGACTCGACGCATGATTGTATATCTGATATGCTTTACAATGTACATTAATTCATTGTTAATATACGGTTGTAGATTTTCCACAAGTGTATTTCTGAATTTTTATTCGATAATTTCAAGTATTCTAACTGCAGTTCTAATTGTAAAATATTTCTATTATTTATTTACATTGCTATTTTGTAGAGCAAAACTCCACAAGCTCAGTGCGTTCTCAAATAAATACGCGACTAAATATATAAATGTAGAGTTTTATTACATATTTTGTCACCGACGAGTGTCTCGTCGCGGTGATTTTGTCGATAAATTACCTAAATATTTTTGTCATCATATGCTAAAATAGTAACTGTTAAATTTCAGTTCATTTCTAACAGGTGTCGCTGGCTTCACTTGCAGCTGACGTAGCTTTGTGTATGTATTTTTTGTATCAGTGAAAAGATAATAAAATTTCAAATCTCATTTGAACACAGAATTAATTTTTTTTATAAATTTTATAATTTTTGCATTATGTTTATTAAAGACTTAAATATTTTAACTACCGCATCAATCATTATACATACATCTCTTTATACATATTATAATTTATTTTAAATTATAATATACATATGATAGAAAAAGAATTAAAATATATAATATTGAAATTAATGAACAAAATAATTTAAAAATAAATTTACTAAAATTAAACTAGATGAATTTGATTTTTCCGAATGACACATTGTGATTATATTCAGTTAAATTAAGTTGATAATGTTCACTATATATTTATTGGATCTAAACATTGCTTTAAGAAATCGCCTAATATTGATCATTGACAATTAAACAACATTTTGAATTAACCATTTCATTTATAAACAAGCTGACTATTTGATTCTTTATTTAAAAGCGGATCAAATTTTTAACAGATATTTCGATCATTATTGACAAGTTTAAATCCTTTGTATTAACTCGCATCAAATGATTTGAATTTTCATTTTCGCTAAATATTTATTTCCGATTTGACTGACGATATAAAAAATTTTAGACATGCAACATCAATATTTTATACACAGTTCATAATTTGTCTCATGAAAGAATTGTTCTCGGTTTGCGGAATCCGCGGTAATAAAAATGAAGTGAAATAGAAACCGTGTAACGAGGCTCTCATATAACTATAAAATTATAAATAAAAAAATATAGTCAAGGTGTATATATAGGCCATTTGAAAACTTAATGATCTTAATTGCAATGACAAATTTACTGTAACTTAATGAGAGTCAATTTTTTCTCATTGTCAGTTTTTCTCAAAGTCGAGAGCGATCATCATTTACCTCAATCTTCGAATTTTATTACGTTACTACGTATCTTGTGTGATAATTAATTGTAAGTTAAAATTAAAATTCTCTCGAAAGATATAGCTTTTGTTTATAAAAGGAGCTGTTTATTAAATTTACTTCTTATTTAAATACATAAAGGAAAAATCGGAATATAATTTCCGTTTGATATAAAATAACATATGTATTCATTACTAAAAATATTTATTATTTAATTCTGAATGACAGGTATCGTGTGAAACCGCCGCAGCTGTTTAAAAAGAATAAAAATACTTTGGCGCGCCACGGCACGACACCGCGTTTTAACCATTTATCGCCACACGTTATTATACTTAGGAATTGCCTATTTGTTTAATGAAAATAATAAAAAATCGTGGCTACGCAGACGCGGTACGTTCTTTCCGAGACGTTTTTAGAAAGCAAGTCTAGTTGAAGTTATTAATGTACCTACATTACGCGCAACAAGAATTGCCATTTTGTCGGCGAGGCACGAGGCGTAGCGACACGCCTCTCGCCTGCAAACTCCGAGCGAGGAAAGCGCTTCGATCCGATTGGTTTATCTTCTCCTACCCTATCTTCTCCACCTGTAAGGTTGACGCGGTCGAGAGAGATTAGGTAGATCTCGCTAACTAGGAAAAGATCGATCCTGAGAGCTTTCTCGATAAACTATACAATTTTGCTAATGATATTCAGAGACGCGCGCAGTCAGCACGTGTAAAATTTACGGTCGCGCTCGTGGGGTTGAACGAGACAAAGACAAAAGTAATACAATTTCTCCAGTCAGACTTGAATACTGCAGAGACCACACGATAATTAATAATTTATACACATTTATTCACACAATGTGCATTACACGAGCAACAATTAGTAAAAAAGTTTTCCTTCGTATATAGCTCTATTATCGGAAATTTAATTTTTGTTAATTTCAACTTAGGTGTGCAATGTGAGTGATATCTGTGACAAGTTTGTTTCGTAATTTCAAACAATCAACGTCGTTTTCAATTCGAACACGTGTTATACATATTTGTGCAGACATAAAGGTATACATATATATAATGACACACGTTTCAACAAGTTATAAAAATATAGGGCTAGAGATCTTTACGAGAGATATTAATATGTCTTGTTAAATCGTAGATAAAGAAATAAAATAAATATTTATTTATACCTAGAAAATATTTTTAAATTTTATTTTTCACTTCTTTTCTTCGCATTCAGTAATCTTATGCACATATTCGTTTAAGAATGCAATAGTGTTAAATAATAAAGAAAATATTTACTCGAGAATAAATCCCCAAAGACAGCCCTCCCCCAGACTCCATTTGCCAGCATACAACAGGGTGGGGTTATCAAACATTGCACTGTTCGAGGATTAGACTCGATAACTTACACTGGTTTCAATCGTTGGAACGAAAGCACGCCGCGCGAATCGATCCGCGCGTTAGCAAACGCGCGGAAGACAACTAGTTCTCTCTCTCTCTCTCTCTCTCTCTCTCTCTCTCTCTCCTCGTTCTCCTCTGGGGCTGGCTGGCTGGCTGGCTAACGCGTACATAATATTACGTACAACACAACGTACCCAAATGCCGGTGGCGTTCGCGGTGGTGTCCGGGCACTCCAGGCACGGTATCGGACGATAGGCGGCCGCGGTACTCTGTCGGATTGGCCGATACCCGGCTGTTGCCGTTCGTGCGAGGGAGGTGACTCGGTGCGGTATTCGCAAAACAGCCCCGCCTTTCGGAATCCGCTGTGAGCTGAGAAACAGATGGAGGACGCCCTTTTCGCGTCGCGAGGGTGAGAACTCTCGAGGTGGGAGAGCTACCGCGCCATTGGACGGAGGTGGTTGCTGGTAGCGCGAGCGAGACCAGCCGAGGACGCGAGACCGAGTGTACTCCAATCCGGGACACGGTGGAGCCGCGGGTTCGCGGGTAGGGGAAGCCCGCTGCGGGGGTGTGGGTATGGATCGGCCGCAGTATCCGCGGAGACGCGATCGCGGGTACTCGGTGTGTTTGGCCGTGCTCGAGGGGGCCGCCTCGGCGAATACTCGGAGTAACGAGGGCTCCATCAGCGAGCTCATCGAAATTCGGTCGGCAGTGTTGGAAATCGTCGTCCAGATTGTGATACACCGTGACACAGCGTGGGGTACAGGCTCGAACCTCGCCTCGGCCGGCCGCGGGTCTCCGTGGTTGGGTCCGATGGAAATTTCCGTCTTCGTTCGCGGCCGAAAGCAGCCTACCTCGTGCCGTTCCTACCGTTTTTGTTCTTGACGTTCTTGCGCGAGAATAAACGAAAGATGCTGGCGCGCGAGTATCGGCGAACGTCGTGCAAAGTGTCGAGCGTTCACACGTAAGAGCGTTCGCTCCAGAGGGAAGAGTGAGACAGAGACTGGTCTTCGGTATCGTTGATCTCGTCGATGATGCCGCGACCCTCGCGCGATACCTATGGTGATCAGAAACCACCCTATTCCTACATATCGCTAACGGCGATGGCGATATGGTCGTCGAGGGACAAGATGCTGCCGCTCGCCGAGATTTACAAGTTTATCGCCGATCGCTTCCCGTATTATAGGAAGGACACGCGACGATGGCAGAATTCCTTGAGGCACAACTTGTCCTTCAACGATTGCTTCATTAAGGTTAGTCAGGGTGCCTACCCCATATACACACGCCATATGTACACGGCGCGCGATTCTGAGCCGAGATTCGATTCGATCGACGTTTACTCGGAGTTGAAACCAGTCGATCGGCCGAATAATATCAATTACCGCGCGAGATGTTCTTTCGATTATTTCGAATAATTGTTTCATTTATTAATTTACATAAGAAATAACTTGACAAAATTCCTCTCTAGATAGATGTGCAGGAGAAAAGTATACCGCGAAACCAAAGATCGTCATTTGAATTCATGAGAATTAATAATTAACGAGATATTATCTCATTTCTGTCATTTTGTCATATTGTCTAGCTTTAACGAGTACAACGAATCACTTACAAAGTAACATTTTGAATCGCGGAATCGCGGTCGTCGAACGAAGCGTGATGGAACGGATTTTTGATTGACGTGATGTGCCTTTTCAACGTGAATGTCCGAGCCCGCGAAGCGACGACGCAACGTGCAAGGTGCTTAGTTGTTGTAGGTATTATCGAGCCATCTGTTTCGCACCTGCCAACGTGTGCGACCGCGCGATCACCGTCATGGCGCGTACCGTTCATCCGCGGTTCCTCAAAATTACGAAAGAACGCCGATCCCTTTTTGTCCCTCGTTCCTTTTTAGCTGTCACGGTAAAATCACTTTCAACCTTACACGCCGCCCGTGTCACAGGCCGAAATAAGCTTGACCACAATCTAGGAGATACGAAAATATTTTATACGATTGTGCATCTGGCAATATTTTGATGTACTATATAGTTTACTTAAAATGTGCAGCTCAAAATCTTTAAAAGTTTCAAGTTTAAAATTTATATTATTACTCCGAACTTTTTCTCTAACGCTTGTTTACAATTTTATGACAAGAAGAGAAAAAATAAAACAGAGAAAAATGTTTAAATATCAAAAATGATGAGCTAACTAATCATATGAATGATAATATTCAAACGTTTATGTACTTATTTGCTAACCTTCTTATTCTAACGTAACACACGCAATGATACGTATAATAATTTGACTTTGTAATTTATATATGTATTTGTTGTACATATCATTTTAAGATTTAAGAACATTTACGATGTTACACTATGATGTTATAATCAATTAATGAAACGATAAATATTGTACAGTATAATCAATACAATATTAAGACTTCTACACTGATTGATACAATTTGAAAAGACTAGACTTAAAATTTAGATAAATTTAAATTGAAAGAATTAGGCTCCCATAAACGAATAAATCAGAAATACATAACGAATAAAGTCTAATGCGAGCTAGCTAACACAGATGTTAGTGTGATAATAATTTTATAGTTACAATCCAGCTCCGCTGCACTATAACCGCGAGCCGCAATTTTTGTCCGTCTTATAAAGTACAATTTTTTACACATGAAGCTGGAATCTACGAATCAAGTAACGAGTGCTAACAAGCATATATGTATAAGAATATCCCTTCCCCTAAAATCTATAAAGAATTTATTGCGAAAAATTAAAATTTAGACCATATCCTTAGATTATTACTTGAATTACATTCAACTGTAGATATAATTTTTAACTCCGTTAATTTTGTAATTTTTTTATATAGTTATTTTATAATAAAATTTGGAATTCACATTAAAAGTATCTTATTTAACGTGTAGAAAATTTTAAATATATATAATTAATTACTAAATATATTTCTTTTAATTATTTTGTATTTTTTTGTATGTTACCTCATTAATTATTATGTATATCTTTCTCACAAAATTCAAACAATTTCGATTTCAAAATTTATTTATTTAACGCTGCATTCTATTCTAGCGTACACAAAAGTTTAGAATATGAAAATAATCGAAATTTCAAACATTCTCAAATATTCGAAAAACCTAAGTGTCAATTTTTTAATAAAAATTCTAATTTGAAGCAACATTTCTATTAAAAAATGTCATAAAAGTTAAAATTCTATAAAAACATGATTAATAATTTTATATTCCATTATCAGCATTATAAAACGGAAAGAATGCAGAAAAAAAGTTTTATCCTTTATAATTTTCTAAAAATATTCTACCGCATATGGAAAGAAGCATGTATTGTCAAAAAATTATAAAAATTTCAAATTCAAATTAATCTAGTTGAATTGAGAATAATTTAAAATAAAAAAAGAGAAATGTAGGATATTTTTATCAAGATTTTCAATAGAATATTTGTATATCCTTTTATATTGGCAAATTTTACCCTGTATGGGCCCCTGTTATAACGAATAATAATTACCATCGCTAGAAAGCGTGAAACTATAAGCGGAAACGATGGAAAGTAATAATGTCTCTGCGAGAAATTTTCGAGAGATTCTAAACCAGAAGAAGCAAGCATTAATCGTGATTTGATTAACAAGATTAAAATCGATATTATTTACGTACGAACAAATTGTAACAGAAAATGCTTGCTTTTTCACAAATTTTTTAAACTAATTTCTACGAAGTTTACAACAGTAATCGTTTTCGGATTTATACAAATATTCTATTGTGTAAATTGATAATAAAATTACATTTCTTATTCAATGTTAAATTTGTTCAGGATTTTATCAGAATTGAAATAAAATATAAATATAGATGTTAAAAGTTATAAAAAGATACCCATTTAAATTTTCGAAAAAGCGCATCTATTAATCAATATATAATTCATATATAAATTCATAGATGAAAGAAGTAAATTTTGTTTTAATAACAAAATAACGTCTAATTGAGACAAGGAAATTGTATAAATTTTGAATCTGTTTCTATAATATTTCTTAATAATTTTGTTAAGCAGCGTAGTGCTGTTAATTTTATTTTAAGATAGAATATAATTCTCTTGTAAAGATCTTGTGTGATATCTCGAATACATATACATTATCAAAATGATATTATATTGTCTCGAATAATTATTATCTTAAATATTACATCGATTCTTTTCTCTTTATGTATAGTATATATAAATCTAAGAAATAACAAATTTACCGTACATTATACCAAAGAAATAAAGTAAAAATAATTTAAACAGTTTGAAGATTTAAACAATTTAAGTATCCTGCAGTACAACTTTTTCTTTTTTTCTCGTTTCGCAAAAATGTTATTTTTAATAAAAGAAACAAGAAACTCATCTTTGTACACGTGGTACTTGAATTTTCCGAATTTGTTCTAGCGTTCAAACGTTATCTTCCCTTTTCTCCCCCGCGAACGCAATTTGAAAATTCAGATTGCCGGTAATAACGGTGGAAAGAAATGACGTAAAAGACGCAAACGCAACTCGACCGATTTCGTCTACCTCTCGTCGAGGCGTGGTACTAATAATAGCGGCGGTAATATATTTCCCTCGCGCGGAGATCTGTCCAGCATGCAGCAGCAGGTTATGCCTTTCCGATCGAATTAACTCAACCGATCGGCAGATAATCGTTTCGCGTTATTAAATGTAAAACCTGTTCGTTCCTGGCAAGTAATGGCTCTCCTGGCTCTCTACAGCTCATCAATCGCCGCTAAGACTGCGTCTTATATCGGCCATCGTCGAGGAGACGCTAGGCGAGGTAGAGATGGTGCATAGACGCCTTTCCACGCGTTACCGAGAGGGGAAAAACAGGGTCTATCTCACCTGAGTGTGCAATACCAGCGGCCGTGCTTTACGAGAATCGCGTAATTGCCTCGGACATCGTTGCCAGCGCGTTTTACGCGACGGACGGCATCTTTCGTCTCGATCGCTCATCGAGTTATCAATTAAGGCGCGATTCCACAAACACGTATTCATCAAAGCGTGGATTCCGAAGTAGCGCAGACCTAGTTTCAGACCGATTCCGAGTTTTCCAATCGACTCAACTTTCCGTTCCTACAACTCTCGCCAATTCTATACGGATAAGCAAACATCGACGTCTTCCGCATCGTATCCCTTACTCATCCATCATAATTATTCGTTAATAGCAAAAAAATTTCGTTAACTTGTTTAATATTAATAGTTTGTAATATCATTTAATTAATAAGTTACGCTTATTTTTCATTTATATTAACTTTATATTCATTTTTCATAATAGCAGCAGCTGTCCAACTTGCAATTGGGTTATCAGATCTAATTTTACGTTATGATGCACGAAAAAATGTATCTAGATAGGTATATCATACGTTTTATATGTAAAATCTTTATTTATGGAAAGGAAGATATTTATGACATTTGATAGACTTGCCAAAGTACAAATCCGATGGAGCGTCAATTTCATATTTATTTCTCATTGGAAATACGAAGCGAAAAGTTGGCCAAAAATGAACTTAAACTCAAGATTGACATCAAATCGATACGATATACATGTGATTTATTATCTATCATCGTCGAACAGGATCGAGCTGTCATTCAATTGTGTATTAGCGAATTTTTCATGAGTTTCTTGCAAAGTTTCTAATATAAATTCTAAATATAAAATTACTACTTTTGAAAAATTAACAATAAATTAATTAATTCGATAAAATCGATTCTCTCTCTCTCTCTCTCTCTCTCTCTCTCTCTCCATCTCTCTCTTCTGCTTAGTTTTTGATACGATTTAAAATTATACTGCAGATATGATAAATGTGCGATCAATGCAGATAATAGCCGATGATGACCATTACGTGTTATCATCATTATTAAGTATTTTAACATTTGTTTTAAACGATATCCTTGGTATGATTATAGTTTATCACGACAAAAAATTTAGAAGAATCATTTATGTGATAGTTGTCTTTTATAGAAAATAAAATTATCCAAGCTCAGGATTGTATTCAAATTATTCAACATAGATCTAAGCTTTCATCTTTTCGAAATTGTATTTTTAAAATATGTGCGAGTCAATCGGTTTCGTCAATTCGAACGGAAGCACACTCTCGCGGGATACTTTGATTAAGACAACTGGTAATGGTACTGAGGGTAATAAATATTTTTCACTAATGCTATCATTTTTTTTCTCCTAGAATCAAATATATTTCACAACGCGTTTCGATGCAGCTTGATAAATGGGATGACCAAATTTCAGGTACCGCGTGGTCCGCATCGGCCGGGAAAGGGAGCCTATTGGGCCTTGCATCCCGCCGCATTGTCCATGTTCGAGAACGGTTCGCTCCTCCGCCGACGGAAGCGCTTCAAACTGCACAAGCCGGACAAGGAGCTGCTCAAGTCCGAGCTGCAGGCACTCGCCTCGGCGATGCCGCCGCCGTTACCACCTCCGCCACCGCCGCCACCGCCGCAGCCGCAGCCGCAGCCGCAGCCGCACCCGGACCCGGTCACATCGACCGGCGGGATCGTCGACGCGAGCGCGACATGCCCTGGCAATGGTCTCAGCCTGGCGAATCTCCATCGTCTGCGAGACGACTTGCTCCGATGGGAAATACAGGAGAGGCGAATGATGGTTGCCACCGTTTCGAATCACGGCGATTTCACCGGTGCAGCCGGCTTTGGCCGATTCGACAGTGCCACTGGCCTGCCGGCTGGACCGACTGCGCCGGAAGCTGTCACCGCCGGCTACTATCTACTGTCACCCGAAGTGAGACAGAGACTCGCAGGCGGTGCTACCGCCGACGCGGGTGGTAACGAAATTTTGAGGACATACGAGGCCGCCGCGTTGTTGCATTCCGCCGCTTCCTGGAACTTTCCTGGGTTTCCGGCAATCTCGCCGTCGTACGCGGTGTCGCAGCTGCCGTATATCCAGCAGACCACCGCTAGCAGGCAGGCCATCCATCCGACGCGGGAGATGCGGGACGAACGCCGTCTGTCGAGCGATCGCGCTCTGGAGAACGGAACGGTGATCAACGCTACCGCCGGCAGAGAAAGCGAGACGGTTTTCACGGGTGAGAATTCTTACGAGATCACGGGCTATAATCGCGACAAACTCGCCGAGGAGGAACCGCTCTCGTCGTCCTCATCCTCGTCCTCGTCGTCTAGAATAAATCTCTATCGAAACGCCGCCTTGATCACCACCTCGTCACCACCAACGTCGCCCACCTCGCCGAATTCGCTCGTGTCCTGCAAGTCGTCCTATCGCCACTTGTCGCCAATCTCGAACTTGGCAGTGGAAGTCGAGCGAACTCAGTTGCCCTCCAATCGCGAAGACCAGGTCATTTTGACCGCGACGAATATGGAGAAGAGGGTTAAAAAACCGTTCACTATCGAGAACATCATCGCGCCTGACGACTGCAATAACGAGGGTAGTGCTGGCGATGGTGCTGGTGCTGGTGGTGGTGCTGGTGGTGGTAGTGGTGGTAGTGGCAGTGTCGGTGTTGGTACTAGTGATGAGGAAGCCTCGAGGTTGACCGACGAACCGATCGCGAAAAAATCCTCGCTTCTCGTGCCGAGACCGCTCTACGCCGGGTACTCGATGTCGATCGCAACCACGGGTGTTCAGAGGCCGTCTTACGGCACCGCCACTTGAACTCGATCTTCGTTGTCTCGATCAATTCGTTATCGAAGGAGTAAGCAAACGACGCGACAATTCATGATTCGCGTCTCGAAGATGTTTAAAGGATGTTGTCTTAAAGATACCGAGCGTGCTTTCGACACCTCTATCACGTCCCCTGGATATATTTGTGCCGTTTGCGTAAACATTTTCATTTATCAGATATCCTTCGGGAAATGAGAAAAACAAAAATAGTCCGTGTCACCATTACCCAAGCTATACCCAAATCGGAGTACAGCATTTGTATAAACGCACAAAGTAGAAAGATTCCCCGCGGTTAACGTTAGAAACGAAGAATTTCGATCAGATTCTGTTAGATAAGCGAAGGTGTAACGTATTTACGAGAATGCGTCCGCAAAAAGAGATCCTACTTACCACTAACGTCTCAAAATCGACACTCTTATTCGATCGACAACGCGAAAATTTAACGAAATTCAAACGAGATGATTGCAGGCGCATTTTGAGTTCAACTGCGACGCGATTGATTGAACATAATTGCTGCAGCAATCTCTTGTCCAATTCACCGCGAATCGACACGTGACGCAAACATATACATAGGGAGACATCGTATAGATAATCGATAATTAGTTCCTCGTTTCGTAAAGACTGTCCTTTTATCGAGAGATCTTTACTTGCCGATATTGGTTTTCGTCTCGTGCGCCGCGAGAGTCGCTTGGTCTTTAAACTTATGAAGTAAACTGTCCGCGAGCAGTCTAGTTAGCTAGAGTCATTCGTAATTTACGGCTATCGTCCGAGCGTAAATGTGATCGATTATTGTCACTTGCGGTACCCTGAATCGGCGACAGCACGCGGCGCGCGGTGCGCGGCGTTGTGCAAGACACAAAGACAACAATTATCGCTCGAACGAAGTCGCATCGCGACTTTCATCCATGTAATTAACTAATTAGACGATCTCTAAACGATTAGGCGCAGGCGCAGGCGCGAGCACAGCTACACTGATGTTAGATTTAGCACATAAAATTAACAATACAAAGCTATGTTTGAAATTTATATATAAATATGAATTTCAAAGTTGGTTTTGTGCTGTGCTATTTAATTGGAATATTTTATACAAAAGGAAGAAAAGGTGCCGATTTTAATTATTATCACCAATTCAAGAAATCTTACAAAGTTCTTGCATATTTTGAGAATATTTATATGGAAAACACTACGTACATTACTTATTTTTTATAATAAACCAAGAAGCCACGACAAATAACAAATATTCATTGCTATATATTTATTTATTCATCTATCTTTTTGTAAAAATGTAAATATATTTATAGGTTAATATAACTAACTTATTAATAATTAAATTTTAAGCAAATCAACCGTTGCCGGTTTGAAAAGTAGATTAAGATTTTCATTGTAAATTATTTTTATAACATGAAACTCTATCAAAAATATTCTCTTCTCTTTAAACAAAATTCTTAAAAAATTTATATATATTTTACTTTCATGAAATTGACACGGTAAGGTACTTGATTCCTTTTCTATAGAAAATGTCCAATTAATAGTTTCGATATTAAATCTGTAAAATTTGAAATTGCATCGTTATCCAGATTTTCGTGGAATGCCACCAAATGCGTTCCCTTGCGTAATGTACCGTCGACTAAATTATAAGCATGCATTTCTTAAAACAAGAAGCTGCTCGTTGCATTCGTGCATTGTCGCATCCACCTATATTCTGTACTCGTACTCGCTCGAGCAAAAGCGATTTGTAAATGTAGAAACGATTCGTAGCGAAATAAATTATTGTATATACGTAGAATAACGAGATACGAGAGTGTTTTTCATTCTTACCCTCTATATTTTACCCTTTGCTTTATTGATGAAGAGTTGTCGCTTTTATTCAATATCATTCATATGATCGGAGTATGAACTTTAATCTAGCTTAAATGAATTTCATTTATAATATATTATTCTCAATTTCTCAACTCATAATTTTCCCATGTTACTTACTTAAATGTATTAATTTCTTTTTTAAATATTATTATTTCAGGAAACTTATATTTTGAGAGAAACAAAATTGGTTTATACCTATCTCTCCGGAAATGTTGCAAATTTGGCGAACTTCTTAAGATTCTTTAGAACTTCAAAACTTCTTGTATCGCAACATATTTCAAACTGTGTGTGTATCTAAAACTAAAAGAAAGATTTTTCCCTATTGCAAAATGTGATCGTTTCGGCTTGGAATGACTCAGTTGGAAGTAACATTGTGTGTTATATTACTCGTTATATACTTGAAATATGTTACCGATATAAGTCATGTTTGGTGGGCGCTCGCCGGGAACACATGGACGGAGAGGCGTGTGTTTGTCAATTAAGTGGAAAAACGTGTTGATTTCACGCATGGCTCGGGATTACGGGCACAATGGAGATTGTTTAAAAGCGCTTTGTTGTCGGGAATGGGAAGCGCGGACCACCATGCCGCGTCGAACCGTGGCCGCGACCCATCCCGACTTTTTTTTTCTTTAATGTACCGGTTGCCTTTCTGCGCTCTCTTTCCATGGGAGTCCGTGTAGCGTGCGTAATAAAAAGGATTATCCGTAATTTCTGCCTCTAATGGAGACGGGGAAGATTTAATAAGGACTACCTCAGCGAGTCACGCTCGTTGGTGGGTCTCGTTGCGTCCTGCGATACATTTAACAATAATGGAAGACCAAAAAAGTACCAAAGAGCGAAATTCTTGGCATATCAGTGCATTCTTCTACCGTGTCGCAAATGATTACTAAATATAGAAATGTTTTACATATTTATATTTATGTTTTTTGTGTACGTCTCTTAGATGGATGAATTCAATTGAATAAAATTTCGAAACTTTTGTCAAAGATTTGACATAAATTTTCGTTGATATAGGTAAACACATACATATACATATAATTGTATACTTATATCATTCTTTGCATGTAATATAAAGAATGATATAAATAAATATATAATTGATAATAAATTCATCAATATTGTAGGTGCGCTATTTTCCATATATTATACTTTGAGTTGACAAATATCTAAATAGCTTAAATATTCTAGAAAAATTCTCAAACGATTAACTTTTAGATCAAATTGCAACGAAACTTATCCTGACATGAGAAGAATCGGGTATAATATCCATCTCGTGTTTCGATTCCAAAATACCTAACCAGACTGAAAGTAAAATAAGCCGATATCGAAAATGTACGACTATACGAGGGAGATCGCGACTGGCGACCGTTATAAGCGGCTAAATAATGGAGACTCGATAGAGCGCCATTATTACTTTCCATTGAGAACGATTTATGGATAAAGCAGTCGCGATAATATTCAACGGCAGCGCATCGACCTCGTATGATCAATCGTTACGCTCTACAAGTACGCGAATCGATTATCGTTAATAAAGCTCGTTAAAGGCAGTACTCGGCAAACAAGTCGATAGGTATAGCCTCTCGCCTAGAGGTCACCTGGACTAGCGGTAGTTCGGTTTACGTCAACTAGCAGTTCGATATTTAGCGTGCACTGACCGTGTACACGCTGTAAAATATTTAGATAAGAACATCGTGCGATAGTGTGAACATGACATCTACTTCTTCAACCTGCTTTTCAGGCAAGATTAAATTATAGGAATAATAAAAAAGTTCAAGTTTTAACTGTTTTAACTCTCTCATTCAATAGTTATAAATATTAATTATTGAATATATACCTATATATATATATATATATATATGCATATACATATATATGTGTGTGTATGTTTGAAGGTTTCTTCAATGCTTGCTTCTCTTATTCACAGAGAGATGAAAATATGTTAGATAGATTGAAAAAAAATCGTATATACATCGAAACGCATGCCGCGGGAGAATCGAAAAATGACTGAAAGTCAATCAATTATCCGATTAGATTAGTAGTAGACCCGCGTTCACGTTCGAGTCATTATTTGTGCCATTATAATGTGGCCCAAAAGCAAGGACTTAACAAGGCTTCGAGCAAATTCATACGAAGAAAAACAACGAAGCAGTACGGCAGCGTATGTGCCGACCGCAAAACAGAAAGAGACAAACGGAATTATCTTTCTACCTTTAATTCTCTCGATCGTTGGCTTCATTCTTTTTCATTTCTTACTCCTCCTACCTTGCAACCTGTTCGTCTTTTATTGAAAGCAACGTATTACGTGTGATTCAGTGATAATACTTGATATAATGTGATAATACAATACATTGTGCACAAATTGGCGAAGTCTATTCTACTTGCCTAAATTAGACAAATATTCCAGTCGAGAATGAGAAGTAAAATAAAGGCTGTTTCAAACGACATTTTAGTAATGGTTTTTTAGTCAATATTTCACAATCGGATAAAATCAGATGCAAACGCTCGTTGGAAGATATCGATTTTTCGAATTTCTTGTATGTAATTGCTAATATAACCACAAATAGTTAATAATATTGCAAGAGATTTGCAAAAAAAAAATATATATGTATATATTTTCAAGGACATACATTGATATCGGATTGATATTTTCGCAATCTTTTCGCGCGCGCTGATATTGACCTCAAAATTATTTGATATCGTCTGAAACAGCCTTAAACTGCTGCGTGCCCAAATTCCATGACCGATGTACACATATATTGGATCCGCATTGTACGCGAAGAGTTCGTTGCGCTTTCGTTTGCGAATAAACAAAAGGCGCAACGGAAGCGACAGAAACCTCAAATGATTCGACGAAGAAGGAGAATTTGGCTAATTTCGCCGCGGCACGCCACGGCCACCTTCTTCATCTTTTGTACAGTATAACGCGAGTATCCTCGCGAGTACATTCTCTCGCGGGGTTTCTTCCACCTCGAACGCACAAGAAAATTTCCCTCGTAAACCATGACACGTTTATTTCTATTCAGATTTGACGTACTTGATTCGACTCATTTTTACGTTTCAAATATTATTATAATAATTTTCAAATGCCTCTCAAATTTTTTAATTTACCATTTTTCTATATCGTTGCGTGA